CTCACACACACACACACACACACACACCCCCACACACCCCCTCGTGTGGGGGCTCGGTGAGGACCCCCTGCCCCCTGAGCGAGCCCCTGAAAGATGCGTGGCCTGGGCTGGGGGGAGAGGCCTTTACTGGGGGCCAAACAGGCAGAGGGGAGCAGCCCCCTTCCCGGGGCCGGGATGTGGAGGCCTTTCGAGCTCTGGCCAGCTCCACCGTCGGACACCAGGGAGGCCCTTCCGGGCTCTGGCAGCAGGGCTGGGGCATGCGGTGGTTCTTAGCAGGGGACAGCTGCAGGCTTGGCCATGGCTACAGCACCTGGGAGAGGAAAAGGGGAAAATTCTGCTTTTGGGGTCACAGAGAGAGACCCTCGTGGGTCACCGGCTTGGGGTGGCCCCTCAGAAGAAAGAAGAGGGAGGATACCGCTGCCCTGCTCCCACCGAAATGCCGGAGCTGGTGCCCCAGGCCTCCCTAGGGCTCTGGGCTGTGACAAGGCCCCTCAATGGGCCCAGCCCCCCTCACCATGTTCATATACTTGTGCTGCTTGATGGCGTCGTAGCCAAAGGCCAGGACTGCCACGGCCGTGCAGAACTCCAGGAGGCTGAAAATGACGAGTATGGAATCCAGCCCGTTGATCAGCATCTGCGAGAAGGAGAGCGGAAGGATCCTGCAGTGTCCCTCATCCCTACCCCTTCACGGGCAATCAAACCCACTGCCTGAGCAGGACCATGAGGCTCTACCTTGTTCTCCAGGTTGAAGCACCACTCAGGTTTCAGCTGGAACGGCATGTTGGTCTCGCAGTCGGGGATGTTGCGAGTGATGGCCGTGGTGTGGACAAGAGTGGCCACCAGCGTGCTCAGGATGACCCCCATGTTGATGATGCAGCAGGTTTTCACCTGTGGGGGTCACCTCACGTGAACCAGCAGCAGCTCTGTTCCTTCTACTCCAGCCAGGAGCTGTGCGGTGACAGCATGATGCCCACCCTGCCAGAGACCCCCCATGAGGTGCCACAGAGCTGAGGAAGAGGCTGCCTGGTGCTCTCTGAGCTGTGTGAGCAGGGGGCCTCTGAGCTGGATTATTCAATTCAGGACACATATATTCCTGGAGAAGCCACCCATGGCAGCCACCTCTGTGACACCTTTTGTCCCCATCATCAGAGAAGGACTTCACCAGGCCCCAAGTGTCTTGTGGAGGCCCTGAAGCATGAAGGATTGTGATGGGGAGAGAGCTGGGGACCTCCTGAGGGTGAGACAGGCCTTGGGTGCCTCACTCTAGCCCCTGCAGGGTGAATCTGGGCTGCAGGGGGGTCCCACCAGCTTCCGGAATGGGCAGAAGCAATGGGGGGACGCTTTGCCCCTTCCAGCCTGACCACAGGGGACCCCCTTACCAGCAAGATATTCTCTCTTTTTTCACTTTCCACCAGGAGAGAGCCTGAGACCAAGAGCTGCTCGGAAAACAGAGGAAGAAGGGTGTCAGCAGCAAGACACCCATCCCACACATCCCCTTGCCTCTTTGGCTGCAAACTGGTGTTCAGGGCTTCATGCACTCTCCCTCTATCCCCAAAGGGGACAGCTGGAAGATTTGGGTGTAAGAGGAGGCCCTGGTGACGGGATCTGGTCCCCAATCCACCGAGATCCCCCAGTCCTCATCGGATGGTGAGAAGGTAAAGGCCAGGCATGTCCCTACTTACCAAGAGCCCGAGCCAAAAGAGGATCCCACTGGCCACAGGCAGGGAAGGGGTCCTGTGCTCTGACACTGTCAGGATGATCCCAAAGCAGATGTGGATGATCCCGGTGAAGATGTGGATGGTCTGGGGAAGGATGGGGGAGAGCAATCCCCCTGGTCACTCTTGGCCCAAAGCTCTGCCTGTGTGCCAGCACCAGCAAAGGATGGATATCACCGTTGCTGTTAGCTGTGTTCCACCCCGCTCCCACTGTCACACCACGCTCTGGCAGGACAGTCCCTGGGGATATTCAGTCCCCACTTTGCCTCCAAGGTGCCCTGTCCCTCCAAGGTGCCATGTCTCACCCCCAGCGCCTTTGGCTGAGCCCTTCTGAAGATTTTGACTTGAAATGATGCCCCGGCAGGTGTGGACGGCCTGGAGCTGGAGGTCAGCTGGGCCGCTCGAGGGTCTGTGGCTGGGATAACCTCCGTGATGATCCTCACACCCCCGGAGTCAGTCACTGTGGTGGCTGCCATCGTCTGCAAGCAGAGTGAGGAAGCTGAAGGACCAGGCCAGCTCCTGGCCTGCTGAGGGCCACCGTATGGGATGCAGCAGCACAAGAAGCACTGACATCCTCTTCCAAGGATGTCCCACACCCCATCGTGCACCCCACACCTCACTCCACACCCAGTTACCTCCTTCAGCACAGGTTTGCCCTCCTCCTCCTCCCCACGGCTGCCGTTAGCGGTCCCTTCACTGTTTGAATCTTCCCCAGGAGGTGGTGGTCGGGCAGGGACACGATCCCGCTGCCCTTTGCTCCCTGCAGGAAGTTTGTTCGCGGAAATCTCGTCAGGCCCCTCTTGCTCAACGAGGTGGCTTTGCCAGCGGAGGGGAGAGGCTGGCAAAAAGCCCCGCATGCACCCTCCTGCATGCACAAGATGGAGGGAGAGGGAGGGGGGCTTGGCAAACCTGTAGGTGGGGGCAGCCCCTTCAAGAACTCCGCTGCAGCCTGCGGAAGGGGTTGGACGCTTGTCCCTTGGGATGCTCCCGGGAGGAGACACACACACACACACACCCCCCCCTTGCCCAGTTTTGGGCGAGTCTTCTCTATCCCCAGTTGTAGATGCTTAACTCAGGCATCATTATCTGCCCTGTCAGGGTCCTAACGAGGTGCTCAAAGATTAATTTGGCCACTATGAGACAGCCAGCCCTGGCAGTTTCCCTCACAGGGGAATAAAAAAAGGAGTGAAACAGGACATGGCACAAACATTATAAACCCCTAAAAGTCCCAAGGAAGCTCCTTTATTGCCTTTTTATTGTCTCAATTGGGGTTCTTCCTTCACAAGTGCCTCGACCCTGTGGGTCTGTCCCCAGTGAGGACAGCCCACCCGCAGGAGCGAGCTGGGGGGGAGCGGCAGCACAGCGTGCGGTGCCGGACAGCTCCAGCGGGAGCCGAAGGGAAAGGAGATGTGGTTGTTTCCGATAGGAAATGAGAGCTCAGCCTGGGAACAGAGCCACCACACATGGCGAGGAGCTCCCGAGGGGCAAGCTTAGAGGCCCCTTCCTCCCTGCGCCGGCCACCGGTCTCCAGGTCTGCCAGAAAACAGCTATTTCCTCTGTGGCTGCCGTCCCCATCTGCTCACCGAGTGGGCTGGGGTCCCCCCAGAGGACCCCCCGGCTTCCCTGGACGTTTGACGGGTGCAGGGTAGGACCCCACTTGGGCTTTTTCCTCTCTTGGAGGCTGTGAATGTCTGCCCACCGCCTGAGGCTTTACCCAAGCTATTTCTCGGTGGAACAGAAATATTTAAGTACAGGGTTCTGGCATCTCTGAGCTTGGCCACAAGCAGCTAGGACTGGCTTCACACCACATTGGTGGCCACGGGCATCACCAGCGTTGGGGACTCCAACACCCCTCGCACCGCAGAGCCAGGGAGGGCTGGGCCCCTCCACAGCCTGGTTACAGCTGAGGATTTTAGGAGCAGGTGGAGGAATTTTGTGAAGTGCTTTTTCCTTTCCTTTGGCCCTAGAGGGAGCTGAGACGCCTGGTTTGGAGGCACATGTCTTCCAGAGCTAGGTAGAGGCTTCCAGCGTTGGGGCCAGCAGTGGTGTGTGATCCCTAGCGAGGGGTGATCAGCCACAGCCCCCCTCCAATCCCAGGGAAACCAGGGGATGGGTGGTACCAAAGCGGGGACAGAGCAGCCACGTCTCAGTGTCTCCCATGGAGGGACCAGCAGCACAGCCACATCCTTGGCTCTTGAGTTTGCAGAGACGCTGGAGGGAAGCTGGTGTCCCCACAGAGCCTCTGTGTTTCTCCGGGGACTCTTTCAAAGGTTTTCTCTGCAGGCTGGAAACCAGGAGACTGACCAGTGGCTGACTGGGGTGGTGGCCACGAGCCTGGGGGCAGGATGCCCAGCAAACCTCAGCAGCCAAGCTGGGACTGTGGGGGCTCAGCTCTCCCCTGTCCCATTTTGGGTCTTTACAGCCCGACCATTTCCCTGTCTGTTGGCTAACGAGGGAGCACAGTCAGTCTGTGCCCTCCCCACGCTCCCACACGCAGGGGAATGGGAGGATTTTTGGCACAGCAGCAGGAGTTGGCTCCAGATTTGCCCATAGCTGGGAGGTGAGGGGGGGACACTCCCACCAAACCAGCCTAAAGCAGGTCTCAGAAAAGAGCCAACAGCAAGGAGCAGTGAGGGACTTGCATCTCCACCCTGGTGCCTGAGCGGGCTCACGCTGCCTCCGGGCAGGCAAGCGGGAGAAAAGGACAAGGGGTTTGCCAGGCACTGTAGCCCATCTGCATCCTCTCATCCCACGGTGGAAAACATCAGGGGGAGAAAAGCTGCCAGTGCCAGCACCGGGTGCTGGGGAGAAGCTGCCGCTGGCGTTTTCCCCATCCTGTAGCCCCGATGGCGGGGGAGCGAGCACTTGGCCTTGTAAAGGGCTGCAACTGCCGGCACGGCTTTCCAGGAAAAACATGGAGATGGATGAGATTCAACCGCGCCTCTTCATCGCACTCCCCGTGCCTCTTGGCCTTTAATTTCTGCCGGTAATTTCGGCCTCTCTGCGGAGGGAGAGATGCTCTCAACACCCTGATGCTAACAAGTCCTGCGCCGGCTGGGATCTTGTTGCAGCCCCGGCAGCACCCGAGGGGGAAGGAACACTTTAGCACCCGTGGAAATGCTGGGATCCCCTCTTTAGCCTTTATACATGCAGGGTGTCCTCCAGCATTAGCGACGGCTCGTGTTCCCAGCCGAAACCGCCTGCTACGGTGGATTTCCTCCCAAATCCATCTTTTCAGATTCCTAAAGCATTCCTGAAGTTTCAGCCTTTCAGCCAGAAACAGCCGTGACTGCCCTCGGCCCAGCAGCTGGCTTCGGTGAAGTGGTTGAGCAAAACCCCTTTCCGAGCAAGGTATCCGTGGAGAAAGTGCTTTTCCCTTTCTAAATAAAGCCAGGTCCAGCTGGGGATGGCAGGAGCCCAAGGTAGGATGTTACAATTTATTTTGGAAACAGATGCCAAGAGGAGGTGAAGCTTTTAAACGTCTGGCTGAGCAGATGCGGGGAAGCGGCAGGCCCAGTCGGTGCAGCCTTCCAGCCCTTTATTTGCAGGAATTTCTGGCTTTGCTGATATATACAATGCGTTCCTTGGATTTTAATGTTTTGTTGTTGTGGTTTTTTAGGTCGAGTTTTGCTCTCCTGACAGCTGGAAATCTTTGCTTTGCTGATTAGCCTTTCTTTTAAATCTCCAGGAGCCGCTCACGCACGGGCTGAGTGCTGGTGCTGGGTGAGACATTTGCCCCATGAAAATGTGGCTTTCGACAAACACCTGGGCTGGCAGCTGGGGACTCCCACGTCGATGGCTTCGGGCTCAACGCCCCGGTGTCCCTCAGGATGTCACGGCACGAATGGGGGAAGCCTGGCTGGGTGCTCAGGTTTGGGGCAGGGAAAGGCGGCGGGGCGGGGTCTGTGTGTGCAGTTCAGCATCCCCTCCCACCAGCACAGGACAAGTTTACGAGCCTGGTGGAACCAAAAGTCCTTTTCCAACCCAAAACCCGCTGCTTTTTTCCAAAGAAAATAGATTGCAATGGAGAAACGCTTTTCACAGAAAGTTGCTGCTTCCTGTGAAAAACTTTATATCCCCATAAAAATACCAAAAGTCAACATTTTGCTTTGCCTCCAAATGTTTCTGGTTCTCACAGGGCTGTTAGGATACTGGTTCCAGAATGAGAAAGCTACATTTTTTCTGGGACAGGTTTCAAGTTGTTTTTTTTTTCTTTTTCTGTTTTTTTTTTTTGTTTTGTTTTTTGAAAAAAAAAAGCAGCTGGCTTTTATCTGTGCCATGTTCCCTGGGCGGCGATGATGCCAACCCTTATATTTTCACTGCAGACAAACACCCTGCTCTGTGATCCCCAGACTGTGGGCTGTGTTGTCCCTGCTTTGTGCCCCCAAAAAACCACAGAGGGAACCTCCTCTGAGGGTGTTAAACACTAAGGGATCCTTCCAGGCTTAGGAAATGTGGAGCCAAGAGCAGTCAGAAGCAGGCAAGGAGACTGGCAGCACGGTGCTGCCTGCTGGGGTGGTCCTGACCCTTTTTGGGGTGCAGCACTGACCAAGGCGGCTGCTCCGGCGCTGCTGGGAATCGCTGTGGTGGGGAATTCAGCTGCCCCGAGGAGACACAATGGGGAAGGAAACCTTAACCAGAGGCAAAATTTTGGAGTAGGGACTGTGCCGCTGAAAACCCCTTGGACAAGGCACCTGTGGAGCCAGTTCTCCGCAAAACCCCCACCCTGCATCAGGTTCGGAGGTTTCTAAGATAAGCAAGTTGATGTCATTCTCAGGGTCTGCCCCGGGCAGCATGTGTATTAACGAGGGGTGTGCAGCAACAATAGGCCATACAAAAGAGACTAGCAGGCAGCTGCTGTATGAGAGCCAGAGTCATTAGGGAGCAGGCTGCCAACAAGAAACACCTGGCTTGGGCAGACTTCAGCTTCTCCTCATTGTTTCTAATTCATGAAACAAAGAAAGGAATTATTTTTAAGTAGTAAAAGTTGTGAGTTCTTATTAAAATATATCAGTCTTAAGGAATATAATCCCTTCTATTATGGAAACAAAAAGTTCTTTGTAAGGAAAAATATTAAAGAGAAATAAATCTATCAGTAGCTATTGTAGTCTCCCTTTCTTGATAGCAAAATTAATCACAGTGGTATAAAGTGCAAGGAGGTATGAAAGGAGCCTACACTAAACACTGAAATGTATTCAGAAACCATTTTCTGAATCTTCTGACACTTTTGTACATCAGTCAATAAATGTAAAAAACTTGCATTTACACACAATTCTAACAGAGTACTTGTGGGTAATTTCAATGGAAGGTGAAACTGATAAAACTCAAATCACATAATATTAAGACGTGCAATAATAGATATTTTTAAGCAATGACACTGAAACATTATGGCACTTGATAGAAAGGAACTATGAGCCACTCTTTGTTCTGGAGTCACTCATATTTCT